AAAAGTTCGGCGCCCGCGACGACTGCCGTGCCTGCCCACAAATGCTAAGGAAGCGCACGGATCCCTATAGGCGTAGGGAAAAGCATTCAGCGATCCGAATATTGTTGCATATTCGGGTGGCCCATGTTCAAATACACCTACCAGAGCAACTTCAGCTTGGTTCGCTTGCACAGAATTGTTCGGCGCCCGCGACGACGGCCGTGACTGCACACAAATGCTAAGGAAGCGCACGGATCCCTATAGGCGTAGGGAAAAGCATCCGACGACCCGAATATTCTTGCATATTCGGGTGGCCCATGTTCGAATACACCTACCAAAGCAACTTCAGCTTGGTTCGCGAGCACAGAAAAGTTCGGCGCCCGCGACGACGGCCGTGCCTGCACACAAATGCTAAGGAAGCGCACGGATCCTTATAGGCGTAGGGAAAAGCATCCAACGACCCGAACATTGTTGCATATTCGGGTGGCCCATGTTCGAATACACCTACCAAAGCAACTTCAGCTTGGTTCGCGAGCACAGAAAAGTTCGGCGCCCGCGACGACGGCCGTGCCTGCACACAAATGCTAAGGAAGCGCACGGATCCTTATAGGCGTAGGGAAAAGCATCCAACGACCCGAACATTGTTGCATATTCGGGTGGCCCATGTTCGAATACACATACCAGAGCAACTTCAGCTTGGTTCGCGCGCACAGAAAAGTTCGGCGCCCGCGACGACGGCCGTGCCTGCACACAAATGCTAAGGAAGCGCACGGATCCTTATAGGCGTAGGGAAAAGCATCCAACGACCCGAACATTGTTGCATATTCGGGTGGCCCATGTTCGAATACACCTACCAGAGCAACTTCAGCTTGGTTCGCGCGCACAGAAAAGTTCGGCGCCCGCGACGACGGCCGTGCCTGCACACAAATGCTAAGGAAGCGCACGGATCCTTATAGGCGTAGGGAAAAGCATCCAACGACCCGAACATTGTTGCATATTCGGGTGGCCCATGTTCGAATACACCTACCAGAGCAACTTCAGCTTGGTTCGCGCGCACAGAAAAGTTCGGCGCCCGCGACGACGGCCGTGCCTGCACACAAATGCTAAGGAAGCGCACGGATCCCTAGAGGCGTAGGGAAAAGCATCCAACGACCCGAACATTGTTGCATATTCGGGTTGCCCATGTTCCACTACACCTACCAGAGCAACTTCAGCTTGGTTCGCGCGCATAGAAAAGTTCGGCGCCCGCGACGACGGCCGTGCCTGCCTCCAAATGCTAAGGAAGCGCACGGATCCCTAGAGGCGTAGGGAAAAGCATCCAACGACCCGAACATTGTTGCATATTCGGGTGGCCCATGTTCGAATACACCTACCAGAGCAACTTCATCTTGGTTCGCGCGCACAGAAAAGTTCGGCGCCCGCGACGACGGCCGTGCCTGCCCCCAAATGCTAAGGAAGCGCACGGATCCTTATAGGCGTAGGGAAAAGCATCCAACGACCCGAACATTGTTGCATATTCGGGTGGCCCATGTTCGAATACACCTACCAGAGCAACTTCAGCTTGGTTCGCGCGCACAGAAAAGTTCGGCGCCCGCGACGACGGCCGTGCCTGCACACAAATGCTAAGGAAGCGCACGGATCCTTATAGGCGTAGGGAAAAGCATCCAACGACCCGAAAATTGTTGCATATTCGGGTGGCCCATGTTCGAATACACCTACCAGAGCAACTTCAGCTTGGTTCGCGCGCACAGAAAAGTTCGGCGCCCGCGACGACGGCCGTGCCTGCACACAAATGCTAAGGAAGCGCACGGATCCTTATAGGCGTAGGGAAAAGCATCCAACGACCCGAACATTGTTGCATATTCGGGTGGCCCATGTTCGAATACACCTACCAGAGCAAATATTGTTGCATATTCGGGTGGCCCATGTTCAAATAAACCTAACAGAGCAACTTCAGCTTGGTTATTGCGCACTGAAAAGTTCGGCGCCCGCGACGACGGCCGTGCCTGCCTTTAAATGCTAAGAAAGCGCACGAATCCCTATAGGCGTAGAGAAAAGCATCCAACGATCCCAATATTGTTGCATATATGGGTGGCCCATGTTCACATACACCTACCAGAGCAACTTCAGATTGGTTCGCGCGCACAGAAATGTTCGGCGCCCGCAACGACGGCCGTGCCTGCACACAAATGCTAAGGAAGCGCACGGATCCCTATAGGCGTAAAGAAAAGCATCCAAGGACCCGAATATTGTTGCATATTTGGATGTCCCATGTTCAAATAAATCTACCAGAGCAACTTCAGCTTGGTTCGCGCGCACAGAAAAGTTCGGCGCCCGCGACGACGGCCGTGACTGCACACAAATGCTAAGGAAGCGCACGGATCCCTATAGGCGTAGGGAAAAGCATCCAAGGACCCAAATATTGTTGCATATTCGGGTGGCCCATGTTCAAATAAACCTAACAGAGCAACTTCAGCTTGGTTCGGGCGCACAGAAAAGTTCGGCGCCCGCGACGACGGCCGTGCCTGCACACAAATGCTAAGGAAGCGCACGGATCGCTATTGGCGTAGGGAAAAGCATCCAACGACCCGAATATTGTTGCATATTCGGGTGGCCCATGTTCAAATACACCTACCAAAGCAACTTGAGCTTGGTTCGCGCGCCAGAAAAGTTCGGCGCCCGCGACGACGGCCGTGCCTGCACACAAATGCTAAGGAAGCGCACGGATCCCTATAGGCGTAGGGAAAAGCTGTCAGAATGAATGAAGCAGGAATGATTGAACTAGCACAAAGTTGGGTACAAGTAGGAAACCCTAAGTTTGTGTACCCCCTAAGGCTAAACCCACTATAGCCTACACAATGTAAACATACAATGTTTGACACACCCCCATAGGCGAAGTGGGAGACAACCAGAGGGTCACAAGACCAGTCAAAGCAAAGCAGAGCTCAGGGTGGATCTCAAGGATACCACACAAGTTCCGAGCACAAGCAAGTGGTCACAAGACCAGTTCACATGCAGTTTGATAATATAACAAGAGGTACAGTGATCACAACCTAGCAAGTGAAAGCATGCAGGTATATATATAGAGATCACAGTACAAGCAGAGTCAAGAAGTGAGCAAGTGAGGGAGAGTAGGCACAAGGCCTAGAACAGTACAGAAACGCTGATGGTCACAAGGCCGAAGCGCCTTGGTGAACACATCAGCAGTGTTGGCCCGAGTGGCCACGTAACGCAGACAAAGCTGACCACGCTGCTGCAGCTCTCGAGCAAGGAAGTAGCGCAGAGCGATGTGCTTCGTTCTGTGCTCCAGTCTGTGCTCCTCACACAAGGCAATGGCTGCCTTGTTGTCGACGTACAGCACTGGAGGAGAACGAGGCCGCTCTCCGAGGTCGGTCAGCAGGTAGGTGAGCCAGCGTAGCTCCTGGGCAGCCATGGCTGTGGCGTAGATCTCAGCCTCACAACTGGAGCTGAGAACAGAGGAAGAGCGAGTAGAACGCCAGGAAACAGAGCCAGAGCCAAGGCTGAAGGTGTAACCCTGAGACGACCGCTGCGTAGCCTGGTCGTCAGCCCAAGAAGCGTCTGAGTGGCCAGTGAGGACAACTCGAGCCCGTCCTCCAAGCACAAGCCCCATGCCCGACGTACTGCACAAGTAGCGCAACACCCTCTTAGCTGCATCCATGTGCTCCTTCCGGTGACGGCCAGGAGCGACATAGCGTGCTAGGATGCTAAGAGGGTAGGCTAGGTCAGGTCGTGTGCAGGTCATCAGGTACATGAGGCAGCCCACAAGCTCTGGATACGGGCCACTCGGCTCTACGGACTCATCCGAAGGCAGAGCTGAGAGCGAGTGACCGGTAGGCAGAGGAGTGGGCTGAGGCGAGGAGTACGTGAAGCGGAAGCGCTGAAGGACCTGCTGCACCATGTGTGACTGAGTCAAGGTGATGGTGCGCTGTGCTCTGTCCCGGGTGATCCGCAAGCCAAGATAGCTTGTCAGCTCACCCAGGTCTGTGCACGTGTGTCTCTTCTGCAGCTCCGACTTCACGTGGGCGAGTGCCTCAGTGTCAGCAGTAGCAAAGACCAAGTCGTCGACGTACACGAGGATGTAGAACGGCGGCAGCGAGGTGTCGGTGCGTAGAAACAGCGACGGGTCAGCAGTAGAAGGAGCAAACCCAAGAGCCGCAAGAGTAGTCCTCAGTGTGTCGTGCCACTCACGGGGCGCCTGGCGGAGACCGTAGACTGGCTGCCGGAGGCTCCACTGGGTACCACGAGGGAACGTCCCAGTGAAGCCAGGTGGGCGGCGCAGCCAGATCTCCTCGTGCAGGGTGCCCTGTAGGAAAGCAGTGCTGAAGTCAAGGCAGTGGAGCTCGTAGTCACGCTGAGCAGCGACGTGCAGCAGAACCCGAAGAGTGGTCATGTTCGGGGTCGGGGAGAAGGTCTGGAAGAAGTCAACTCCCTCTCGCTGACTGAAGCCTCGTGCAACGTAACGCGCCTTGAAGGCAGGCGGAGAACCCGGCGGCCGCTTCACCCTGAAAATCCACATGCCACTGACGATGTTCCCCCCAGGTGGGGGAACCTCGTCGACGTAGGTGCCTGTGGACTTCCAGGAAGCCATCTCTGCGTCCATGGCTGTCTGCCACTGAGAGGAGTACTCACCCTCCATCGCCTCTGCGTAGGAGCGTGGGGTCGGGATGTCTGGTGCATCCGGGTCTCCCTCAGGGGCAATCAGCATGGACACGAGATGAGGTAAAGCAGCAGCAAAGCACTCAAACTCCTCCTGTCTGTCCTCAAGGACGTCCGTGCCAAGAGCACACTCACCCCCGACGGGCGGAGGACAGACAGACTCAGACTCAGCAACAAGGCTAGCGGCGTAGTCTAGACGACAGGCGGCAGCAAAGTCAACAAGCTCAGCGACTAGAGAAGACGCAGCAGAGGACTCAAAGGTAGGGTCAGTGACAACAGTGGCAAGGAGACGCGCGACAGTAGGACTGGCAGTACGAGTAAGGTCTGACGGCGGGTCGGCAACGTCAGGAAGAGAGGACGCAGGAGGAGACGGCAGAGGGACGCGCTGTGGAGTAGTGGAAGGACGCAGGGTCATATAGTGAGTGCCAAGGACAGGAGGAGGACGCTCACGCAGGGCACGACGACCAGTGCGGGCAGTGCGGACAGGCGACTCTGGACGAGACTCAGGAGACGCAGGACTAGACTCAGGCGACGGAGGACGAGACTCAGGCTCACGACGCTCCGTAAAGCTACCTGTCGGCGCAGTGTAAGGAGAAGGACCAGGCAGGGGAGAGGCAGGCTGTAACTGTGACTGCGACTGGACAGGTGGTGGACTCAGTAGGGGAGGAGGAGTAGGACCAGTAGAGGGCGGGAGACCAAGAACCTGCTGAAGGAGCGGAACGTAGTACGGCCGCAGCCGCTCAGCACCTCCAACTCCAACCCCCTCAGCAGCTCCAGTCCCAGCAGCTCCAGTACCTCCAGTACGAGCACCTCCAAGACCAGCAGCTCCAGCAGCTCCAGCACCAGCAGCACCACCAGCAGCACCAGCACCTCCAGCAGCACCAGCACCAGCAACACCTCCAGCAGCTCCAGCAGCACCAGCAGCACCGCCAGTAGCAGCAGCACCTCCTGCAGCTCCAGCAGCACCAGTACCAGCAACACCTCCAGCAGCTCCAGCAGCACCAGCAGCACCAGCACCAGCAGCACCTCCAGCAGCTCCAGCAGCACCAGTAGTACTTCCAGCAGCTCCAGCAGCACCAGCGGCACCAGTACCAGCAGCACCCCCAGCAGGGGAGAGGGCAGCGCCCGCCTAGGGGGGGAAGCACTAGCACCAGCTCCAGCAGCGCTCCGAGTGCCAGGAGCACCTCTCCTGAGGCTGCAGTACTGTAAGTACCACTCACGCAGCTGCTCTGAGGAGAGAGCTCCTCCAGGTGCAGCACTCCCAGACTCAGCACCCCCAGACTCAGCACCCCCAGACTCAGCACCCCCAGTCTCAGCACCCCCAGACTCCGCAACCCCAGGCTCCGCACCCCCAGGCTCCGCACCCCCAGGCTCCGCACCCCCAGGCTCCGCACGCTCAGGCTCAGCACCCCTAGCAGGACGAGAGTCGACAGCTACCTCGACAGGGTCAACCGGGTCTACCTGGGACACACCTGAGGGAGCGGCACCCTGAGGGGGGAGGGGGTCTACTACAGCAGCACCTGGCGCGAGGAAGAGCGGCGGGGGAGGGAGCGGGGCAGTGCGGTAGGGGAAGAGGCAGTAGTAGGGCACCGACTCGTCAAAAGTGACGTCCTGAGAGGGCAGGACACGGCGCGAGGTGGCGTGGTAAAACTGCCAACCAGACGCGTCCGGGACAAAGCCAAGGAAGACACAAGGAACAGCGCGGGAGGAGAGCTTGTCCGCAGACGTATCGCGGACAAAAGCTTGAGAGCCCCAGACCCGAAAACGCGACGCATCGCCAACCTCCCCCGTCCACAGCAGTGTGGGCGAGGTCTCCGGCAAGGAGACACGGGGCCAGAGGTTGAGCTGATGCGCAGCGTATCGGACCGCAAACGGCCACAGAAAGTGGGGGGCAGCCGCATGGATCAAGGAGGTACGAGCGACCTCCATGACCAAGCCAATGCGGCGCTCAGCAACCCCATTCTGCTGTGGAGAGGCCGGAAGCGTGAACGACTTCTCAATGCCGTGCTCCGCACAGTAGGCTGCCAAGAGGTCGGAGGAGAACTCACCACCTCTGTCAGAGTGCAGACGCAAGACAGGAAAGTCCGAGTGGAACCGCTCGCTGAGCTGGAGACGAGAAGCGCGGATCCAAGGGATCAACACAGCAGGGACCTCACCCTTGGTGCGCAAGGGGAAGACCGTGGTGTAGCGCGAGTAGTCGTCAACAACGATCAGGAAGTACCTCTCCTGACCCTGTCCACGGACGCGGGCTGGGCCCCACACGTCCATGTGGAGCGTCTGCAAGGGAGCAGCCGTCGGGGGAAACGAGGAGGAGTGAGGAGCGGCGCGCTGCCGCCCCTCGACACAAGGAAGACAGGGAGGAGCAGGCGAGGGTGGGAGGGGAGGAAGTACCCGGGGAAGACCAGAGACAAGGTACCGTTTGTGCATGGCACGAAGGCGCTGCACGGACGGGTGACCAAGGCGGTGGTGCCAGAGGACAGTCTCGTGCGCCAGAGAGCGACACGAGCAGGGGGCAGACAACTGACCTGACGCAGACGCAGACGCAGCTACCTGAGGGGACTCAGTGGTCAGTGTGTACAGGTCCGACCCCGGCTGCCTAGTGAAGGTAGCGAGGTGACGGCCCGTCCGAGCACACGTGCAGTGTGTCACGCGCTCGTAGGCAGGGGTGAACTGGTGGACACCCCCGTCCTGGAGCGCACAACCCGCCACCAAGTTCGTAGAGAACGAGGGGAGGTGGAGACCTGACAGAGTGCCCGACGGAACCGCAGGACAAGGAAGGACAGTGGAGGAGGTCGCAATGACCGGACCCCCAGAGGGGTCAGCAAGGGAGACAGCAACTGGCCGAGCAAGCTGCTCAAGGGCAGTGCGGTCACGAAAGAAACAGCGAGAAGCGCCTGAGTCTAGAGTGAAGGTTTGAAGTGCCTCAGTGGACTCAGTACCAGGGGGCGCAGACTCACTAGCACCTGGAGCAGCAGCCTCACCAGCACCTGGGGCAGCAGACACGTAAGCACCTAGCGCAGCAGCCTCACCAGCACCTGGGGCAGCAGACACGCAAGCACCTAGAGCGGCAGCCTCACTGGTGCGAATGCCCGGGTCGGGCGGAACACGCAGGTACTGATCACCCTCTCCACTAGTAGACAACACATACATGGCAGTGAGAATAGCATCAAAGTCAAGAGCAAAGACATCAATGTTCTTCTTCATCAGATCCCACCAGCGGGGCAGCTTAGTGGCAGTAGGGAACTGAGTGCGCCAAGCGTCGTCGAGGCGGGAGAAGCAGCGCTGCGTGGTGTGCGCCCTCCCACACGTATGGCCAGTGCGCTCACCAGTGCAGATGACGTACGTGCAGCTAAGGCCACCCCCCCCCCCCCGTGCTGAGAGTACCACTCACGAAGCTCCTAGGGAGAGAGAGTCTGCTGTCCGCCAGCGCCACCACGACCACCACCTCCGCCGCCACCACCTCGACCACCACCGCCCCTGCCGCCGCCTCGTCCACCGCCGCCCCCACCACCGCCCCCACCCCGGCCACCTCCTCCGCTGCTGCCGCCACCACCCCCACCGCTGCCACTAGCCCCTCCTGCCCCGCCACCACCCCCACCGCCTCCACCGCCCCCACCACCGCCTCCCCCGCCGTCACCTCCACCTCCCTTGCTCCCTTTGCCCTTGCCGCTGCGGCGCCAGCTCGGAGCGGACGCAGTCCCGACCTGCTCAGTACCAACTAGGTCGACAGCAGCAGCAGAGGCGACAGAGGGGAGCAGGGGGGAAGGGGAACACCCCTCGAAGAACGGGGTGCGGGGGTCGCCACGAGAGGCAGCTACAGCGACTATGCTAGTCTCGGCTGCAAGCAGTTCCTTCTCGAGCAGGTCAACGGTGAGCTCAGTGGGGCAGCGAGCGAGGAAGTGGTCCCTGACCGAACGAAGAGAGTCAGGGAGACGGGTGACAAGGTGGTAGAGAGTGAGCCAGAGCGGGGGGGGGTGGGTGGCAAGAAACTCAGCGGGCATAGCGACACGGAAGCGAGCCTCACTAGTGCGGAGGTGCGTGGTGAGGTCAGCGACTGTGGCGAAAGCGGACAGGTCTGGGAACAGGTAGGGGAGCGAGAGACGGCCTAGCGTAGCAGAGGCAGGTGAGGAGTAGCGAGCAACTACAGCAGTGTACAGTGCCTGCGCAGTCTTGTGCTGGCCAAAGTGCTCGCGCTCATCGACCGGCAGGGAGTTGCGAATAGCGAAACGAGCGTGGGCATCACGAGTCTGCCACTGTGAACGGGCAGTACTGTCAGCAGTAAGAGCAGGGGCAGCAGCGAGGCCTAGTGCGTGATCGTACAGCGAGATGTCCTCCTTGGCAGTGAGTTGGGGGAACGGGTGCAAGTCATCTAGCCAGATTTCAAACTTCACTGGGCGGCCCTCGGTATCAAAAGCGAGGACAGCGGGGCTAGCCATAGTAGCAGTAGAAGAAGCAGCAGTAGCAGGAACAGGAGCAATAGTAGCAGCAGGCAAAACCCTAAAAGCAGCAGGCAGCGCAACTCAGGGAGGGCGGCTTGGTCCAGAGAGGGCGGCTCAGTACGGGGAGGGCGGCGCGGCTCGGTTCGGGCGGCGCGGCTCAGCTCGGGCTGGGCGGCTCGGTTCGGGCGGCTCGGTTCGGGCGGCTCGGTTCTGGCGGGGCCGTGGCGGTCGCGCGTGGGGCGGCTCGGTTCTGGCGGGGCCGACGAGGCCTCTAAGGGGGGCGGACGCGAGGCCGACGGGGCCTCTAAGGGGCGAACGCGGGGCCGACGGGGCCGCTAAGGGGCGGCTCGCAGGGTCGACGGGGCCGTAAGGGGCCGCTAAGAGGCAGCGCGCGGGGTCGACGGGGCCGTAAGGGGCCGCTAAGGGGCGGCGCGTGGGGTCGACTGGGCCGACGGGGCCGCTAAGGGGCCGTGCGCGGGGTCGACGGGGCCGTGAGGGGCCGCTAAGGGGCGGCGCGCGGGGTCGACGGGGCCGTGAGGGGCCGCTAAGGGGCGGCGCGCGGGGTGGACGGGGCCGTGAGGGGTCGCTAAGGGGCGGCGCGCGGGGTCGACGGGACGTGAGGGGCCGCTAAGGGGGCGGGGCGCGGGGTCGACGGGGCCGTAACGGGCCGCTAAGAAGGGGCGCACGAGGGCGCTGGGGGGAGGCGCTCGAGGGCGCTCCGACAGTAGAGGCGCACGAGGGCGCTAGTAGTCAGTCAGCAGTGGTGGGCCCTAAGAAAAATCGGTCCTAGCAGAGGACCTGCTTTGAAACCATGTCAGAATGAATGAAGCAGGAATGATTGAACTAGCACAAAGTTGGGTACAAGTAGGAAACCCTAAGTTTGTGTACCCCCTAAGGCTAAACCCACTATAGCCTACACAATGTAAACATACAATGTTTGACAAAAGCATCCAAGGACCCGAATATTGTTGCATATTCGGGTGGCCCATGTTCAAATAAACCTACCAAAGCAACTTCAGCTTGGTTCGCGCGCCAGAAAAGTACGGCGCCCGCGACGAAGGCCGTGCCTGCACACAAATACTAAGGAAGCGCACGGATCCGTATAGGCGTAGGGAAAAGCATCCAAGGACCCAAAATTGTTGCATATTCGGGTGGCCCATGTTCGAATAAACCTAACAGAGCAACTTCAGCCTGGTTCGCGCGCACAGAAAACTTCGGCGCCCGCGACGACGGCCGTGCCTGCACACAAATGCTAAGGAAGCGCACGGATCCTTATAGGCGTAAGGAAAGGCATCCAACGACATATTCGGGTGACCCATGTTCGAATACACCTACCAGAGCAACTTCAGCTTGGTTCGCGCGCACAGAAAAGTTCGGCGCCCGCGACGACGGCCGTGCCTGCACAAAAATGCTAAGGAAGCGCACGGATCCCTATAGGCGTAAGGAAAAGCATTCAGCGACACAAATATTGTTGCATATTCGGGTGGCCCATGTTCAAATACACCTACCAGAGCAACTTGAGCTTGGTTCGCGTGCACAGAAAAGTTCGGCGCCCGCGACGACGGCCGTGCCTGCACACAAATGCTAAGAAAGCGCACGGATCCCAATAATTGTAGGGAAAAGCAACCAACGACCTGTATATTGTTGCATATTCGAGTGGCCCATGTTCAAATACACCTACCAGAGCAACTTCAGCTCGGTTCGCGTGCACAGAAAAGTTCGGCGCCCGCGACGACGGCCGTGCCTGCCCACAAATGCTAAGGAAGCGCACGGATCCCAATAGTTGTAGGGAAAAGCAACCAACGACCTGTATATTGTTGCATATTCGAGTGGCCCATGTTCAAATACACCTACCAGAGCAACTTCAGCTCGGTTCGCGTGCACAGAAAAGTTCGGTGCCCGCGACGACGGCCGTGCCTGCCCACAAATGCTAAGGAAGCGCACGGATCCCTATAGGCGTAAGGAAAAGCATCCAGCGAATCGAATATTGTTGCATATTCGGGTGGCCCATGTTCAAATACACCTACCAGAGCAACTTCAGCTTGGTTCGCGCGCACATAAAAGTTTGGCGCCCGCGAGGACAGCCGTGCCTGCCCACAAATGCAAAGGAAGTGCACGGATCCCTTGAGGCGTAAGGAAAAGCATCCAACGACCCGAATATTGTTGCATATTCGGGTGGCCCATGTTCAAATACATCTACCAGAGCAACTTCAGCTTGGTTCGCGTGCACAGAAAAGTTCGGCGCTCGCGACGACGGCCGTGCCTGCCCACAAATGTGTCAGATTTATATGACAGAGCTACTGTAGGCTATAGTGGGGTAGCACATATGGGGTACAGTTTTCTAGGGTTTGCATTTGTACCCAACTTTCCCTTAGTCATTCTCATTCATGTTTTCTTAATTCACATGGTATCAGAGCGGGTTCCTGCATGGGACCGTTCCTTCCTAAGGGCCCACCATAACGAATTTTTTTTTTAGCTGCCCGACGCGCATTGCGCCCCTGCCCTAAATTTTTGTTAGCGCCCCCCCCCCCCTAGCGGCCCCTACGCGACCCCTACGCGGCCCCTACGCGGCCCCTACGCGGCCCCTACCCGGCCCCTACGTCGCCCCTGACGCGGCCCCTACGCGGCCTCTGACGCGGCCCCAACGCGGCCCCTGACGTGGCCCCTACGCGGCCCCAAACGCGGCCCCTGACGCGGCCCCTACGCAGCCCCTGACGCGGCCCCTGCCGCGGCCCCTGACACGGCCCCTACGCGGCCCCTACGCTGCCCCTGAGGCAGCCCCTGACGCGGCCCCTGACGCGGCCCCTCCGCCGCCACTACCGCGGCCCCTACGCCGCCCCTGACGCCGCCCCTGACGCGGCCCCTGCCGCGGCCCCTGACGAGGCCCCTGACGCGGCCCCTGACGCGGCCCCTACCGCGGCCCCTGACGAGGCCCCTGACGCGGCCCCTGACGCGGCCCCTACGCAGCCCCTGACGCGGCCCCTGACGCGGCCCCTGACGCGGCCCCTGACGCGGCCCCTGACGCGGCCCCTGCCGCGGCCCCTGCCGCGGCCCCTGACGCGGCCCCTGCCGCGGCCCCTGCCGCGGCCCCTGACGCGGCCCCTGACGCGGCCCCTTCGCCGCCCCTGCCGCGGCCCCTACGCCGCCCCTGACGCGGCCCTCTCCTGCACCTGACGCGGCCCCTAGCGGCCGGCCGCTGCCGTCCCTGAGGCAGCAGCCGCCGCCGTCTCTGCAGCAGCAGTCGCAGCCGAACGGCCGAGCCGCCGAGCCGCCGAGCCGCCGAGCCGCCCAGCAGCCGAGCCGCCCAGCCGCCGAACCGCCCAGCAGCCGAGCCGCCCAGCAGCCGAGCCACCGAGCCGCCCAGCAGCCGAGCCGCCGAGCCGCCCAGCAACCGAGCCGCCGAGCCGCCGAGCCGCCTAGCAGCCGAGCCGCCGAGCCGCCCTGCAGCCGAGCCACCCGAGCCGCCCTGTCCGGTAAGAGCAGCGCCCCTTTCACAGCACTGCCCTCACCCTACTGTTTGCGCTGCTAGTCTACTACTGTCATGGCTACCCCTAGTGTCCTCGCTTTTGACGCTGAGGGTCGGGCCATTGACTTTGATGTCTGGATAGATGACCTGCAGCTTTTCTTACAGTGCGACAGGGCAGACAGCCTCTCCCTCTTTGACCTCACTTCTGGTGCCTCTCCTGCCCCCGCTGCTGATGCTGACGCCACTGTTCGCTCACAGTGGGCCACGCGCGATGCTGCTGCACGTCTTGCTGTGCGTCGCCACCTGCCTACCTCTGAGCGTGCGCACTTTAGCCAGTACAAGAGTGCTCAGACCTTGTACGACGCTGTAGTTGCGCGCTACTCCTCCCCTGCCACTGCTGCACTGAGCCGCCTCATGCTACCGTACCTCTTCCCTGACCTTGCTGCCTTTCCCACAGTCGCTGACCTCATTACGCACCTCCGCACTAGTGACACTCGCTACCGCGCTGCGCTTCCTGCTGAGTTCTGCGCCAAGAACCCCCCCCCCATGCGGGGGTTCACCAGTTCACTCCTGCGAGTCAGCGGGTGACCCACTGCACGGACGCTCGGACAGGCCGACACCTGGCCACGTTTACACGTCGGCCGGGGTCGAGCCTGTACACACTGACCACTGCGTCTCCTCCGGTCACTGCGTCTGGTCAGGTAGCTGCGTCAGGTCAGGTGTTTGCTGCAGCGTCCAGGTCTGATCCTGAGTCTGCCCCCTGTTCGTGTCGCCTCCTGTCTCACGAGACTCTCCTCTGGCACCACCGCCTTGGTCACCCCTCCCTGCTTCGTCTCCGAGGCATGGCCTCCCGTGTCCTTGTCTCTGGTCTTCCCCGGTCCCTCCCTCCCCTTCCTCCGGGGCCTGGCCCTACCTGCGTCCCCTGTGTCGAGGGGCGGCAGCGGGCTGCCCCTCACTCCTCCCAGTTTCCTCCGACAGAGGCCCCGCTGCAGACGCTTCACATGGACGTGTGGGGCCCGGCCCGCGTCCGTGGACAGGGTCACGAGCGCTACTTCCTGCTGGTGGTTGACGACTACTCGCGTTACACCACAGTCTTCCCCTTGCGCAGCAAGGGTGATGTCACTGAGGTGTTGATCGACTGGATCCGCGCAGCTCGTCTCCAGCTCAGGCAGAGCTTCGGCTCGGACTTTCCTGTTCTGCGTCTGCACTCTGACAGAGGTGGAGAGTTCTCCTCTGGCCTTCTGCGAGCCTACTGTCGTGCACGAGGCATCCGCCAGACCTTCACGCTTCCGGACTCTCCACAGCAAAATGGGATTGCTGAGCGCCGCATTGGCATGGTCATGGACGTCGCCCGTACGTCCATGATACATGCGGCTGCCCCCCATTTTCTGTGGCCGTTTGCTGTTCGGTACGCGGCGCATCAGATCAACCTTCACCCCAGGGTCTCCATGCCGGAGACCTCCCCAGCCTTGCTGTGGACGGGGAAGGTTGGCGATGCGTCTGCGTTCCGTGTCTGGGGATCTCGGGCGTTTGTCCGCGACTTGTCTGCGGACAAGCTGTCCCCTCGTGCTGCTCCTTGCGTCTTCCTTGGCTTCCCCCCTGACGCGCCAGGGTGGCAGTTCTACCACCCCACCTCTCGCCGTGTTCTGTCCTCCCAGGACGTCACGTTTGACGAGTCGGTCCCCTACTACCGCCTCTTCCCCTACCGCACTCCGTCCCTCCCCCCGCCACCGCTCTTCCTTGTACCAGGTCCCCCCCCGGTAGACCCCCTCCCCCCTCAGGGTCCTGCCCCTTCAGGTGTGTCCCAGGTAGACGCAGTCGAGCCTGTCGAGGTTACTGGTGACTCTGGTGCTGCTGAGGGTGCTGAGCCTGGGGGTGCTGACTCTGGGGGTGCTGAGCGTGTGGGTGCTACGCCTGGGGGTGCTGAGCCGGAGGGTGCTACTTCTGGGGGTGCTGAGCCTGGGGGTGCTGAGCCTGGGGGTGCTACTACTGGGGGTGCTGAGCCTGGGGGTGCTGAGCCTGGGGGTGCGGAGCCTGAGGGAGCTGGGCCTGCTCGTGTGGCGTCTGGCGGTGCTGAGCCTGGAGGTTCTCCGGGTGCTTCGTCTCGGCGGGAACCACTCTCTCCACAGGAGCTGCGTGAGTGGTTTGCCCGGCGCTGGAGGCGTGCTGCTGGAGCTGGAGGTTCTTCGGCTGCTGAGGGTGCTGGTGCCGTGGGTCCCGGAGGTGCTCGTACTGGGAGTACTGGAGCTGCTGGGCCTGCGGGTACGACTGGAGCTGGAGCTGCTGAGGGTGTTGGCGCTGAGGCTACTGCTGTCGGTCCTGGAGGCGGTCCTGCTGGGGGTACTACTGGTGCGGCTGGAGGTCCTGGAGGTGGAGGTGCTGCTGGCGCTGGTGCTGCCGCTTGGGGTACTGGTGCTATCCCTGCTGTGTCTGGAGTCGCCGCGCGGCCTCGGCCGTACTTCGTTCCGCTCCTTCAGCAGGTTCTTGGTCTCCCGCCTTCTACTGGTCCTCCTCCTCCCTTAGAGTGTCCACAGCCTGTCCCGTCACAGTTCCAGTTACAGCCGGCCTCCCCACTGCCCGCTCCCTCTCCCTACACTGGTCCTACTGGAGGTCTTGCTGAGCGTCGTGAGCCTGCGTCCCGCCCTGCGTCGCCTGTCCGTGCTGCTCGAACTAGTGGTCGTGGTTCGCGTCAGCGTCCTCCTCCTGTCCCTGGCACGCACCGGATGTCTCTGCGTCCGTCCACTGCTCCTCTGCGTGCCCCTTTGCCTTCTCCTCCTGAGTCCTCTCTTCCTGCTCTTCCTGACCCGGAGTCGGACTCTCTTCGTGCTGCCAGTCCTACTGTCACACGTCTCCTTGCTACTGTTGTCACTGACCCTTCCTTTGAGTCCACTGCTGCGTCTGCCCTAGTTACTGAGCTCGTCGACTTTGCTGCTCGCTGTCGTCTAGACTACGCTGCTATTCTTGTTGCTGAGTCTGTCTGTCCTCCGTCCGTCGGGGGTGAGTGTGCCCTTGGCACGGACGTCCTTGAGGACAGGCAGGAGGAGTTCCAGTGTTTGGCTACTGCTTCACCTCATCTCGTGTCCGTACTGCTTACCCCTGAGGGAGACCCGGATGCACTTGACATCCCGACTCCGCGCTCTTACGCGGAGGCGATAGAGGGTCCCCACTCCTCTCAGTGGCAGGCAGCTATGGACGCAGAGATGGCTTCCTGGAAGTCCACAGGCACCTACGTCGACGAGGTTCCCCCGCCTGGGGCGAACATCGTCAGTGGCACGTGGATTTTCAGGGTGAAGCGGCCGCCGGGTTCTCCGCCTGTCTTCAAGGCGCGTTACGTGGCTCGTGGCTCTAGTCAGCGGCAGGGAGTTGACTACTTTCAGACCTTCTCTCCCACCCCGAAGATGACCACTCTTCGGGTACTGCTGCACGTAGCTGCTCACCGCGACTACGAGCTGCACTCTCTTGACTTCAGCACTGCTTTCTTGCAGGGTAGCCTGCACGAGGAGATCTGGCTGCGTCGCCCACCTGGCTTCACTGGGTCTTTTCCTCCTGGCACCCAGTGGAGCCTCCGGCGGCCAGTCTACGGTCTCCGCCAGGCACCGCGTGAGTGGCACGACACACTGAGGACTACACTTGCGGCTCTTGGGTTTGCTCCCTCTACTGCCGACCCGTCGCTGTTTCTGCGCACCGACACTTCTTTGCCGCCGTTCTACATCCTCGTGTACGTCGACGACTTGGTCTTTGCCACAGCTGACACTGCTGGACTCGCCCACGTGAAGTCCGAGCTGCAGAAGAGATACACGTGCACAGACCTGGGTGAAGCAGCTACCTTGGCTTGCAGATCACCCGGGTTTAGGGTTTACCCTAGAAAACTGTACCCCATATGTGCTACCCCACTATAGCCTACAGTAGCTATGTCATATAAATCTGACACACCCCCATAGGCAAAGTGGGGGAGAACAAGGGGTCACAAGACCAGTCAAGCAAAGCAAAGCAAGCTCAGGGTGGATCACAAAGTCACCACACATTCCGAGCACAAGTTCAAGGCCACAAGGCCAGTTCACATGCAGGATTACATATATATATAAGGCTAGACAAGCAAGAGCACGTGTATATATATATGCAACAGTACAAACAAGGTCAAGGGGTGAGCAAGTGAGGCAAGGTAGGCACAAGACCCAGCTGAGTACAGAAGCGCTGATGATCACAAGGCGCAAGTGCCTTGGTGAAGATATCAGCAGTGTTGGCCTGAGAGGCCACGTACGCAAGCCGCAGCTGACCACGCTGCTGTAGCTCACGAGCAAGGAAGTAGCGGAGAGCAATGTGCTTCGTTCTGTGCTCCAGTCTCTGCTCTCGACACAAGGCCAGCATGGCCTTGTTGTCTACGTACAGCACTGGAGGAGAACGAGGCGGCTCTCCGAGGTCAGTCAGCAGGTTGGTGAGCCAGCGAAGCTCCTGTGCAGCCATGGCCCCGGCGTAGATCTCAGCCTCACAACTGGAGCCGAGAACAGAAGACGAGCGGGTAGCCCGCCAAGAAACAGAGCCGGAACCAAGGCTGAAGGTGTAACCCTGTGACGACCGCTGCGTAGCCTGGTCGTCAGCCCAAGAAGCGTCTGCGTGCCCAGTGAGGACCACTGGACTCTGCCCTCCAAGCACAAGCCCCATGCCCGACGTACTGCACAAGTAACGCAACACCCTCTTCGCTGCAGCCATGTGCTCCGGTCTGTGTCTCCCAGGAGCAACATAGCGTGCGAGAATGCTAAGAGGGTATGCGAGGTCAGGTCGTGTGCAGGTCATCAGGTACATGAGGCAGCCAACAAGCTCTGGGTACGGGCCACTCGACTCTACGGACTCATCCGAAGGCAGAGCTGAGAGCGAGTGGCGAGTAGGCAGAGGAGTGGCCTGAGGCGAGGAGTACGTGAAGCCGAAGCGCTGAAGGACCTGCTGCACCATGTGTGACTGAGTCAGGGTAATGGTGCGGCGTGCTCTGTCCCGGGTGATCTGCAAGCCAAGGTAGCTGCGCAGTTCACCCAGGTCTGTGCACGTGTGTCTCTTCTGCAGCTCGGACTTCACGTGGGCGAGTCCAGCAGTGTCAGCTGTGGCAAAGACCAAGTCGTCGACGTACACGAGGATGTAGAACGGCGGCAAAGAAGTGTCGGTGCGCAGAAACAGCGACGGGTCGGCAGTAGAGGGAGCAAACCCAAGAGCCGCAAGTGTAGTCCTCAGTGTGTCGTGCCACTCACGCGGTGCCTGGCGGAGACCGTAGACTGGTCGCCGGAGGCTCCACTGGGTGCCAGGAGGAAAATACCCAGTGAAGCCAGGTGGGCGACGCAGCCAGATCTCCTCGTGCAGGCTGCCCTGCAAGAAAGCAGTGCTGAAGTCAAGAGAGTGCAGCTCGTAGTCGCGGTGAGCAGCTATGTGCAGCAGTACCCGAAGAGTGGTCATCTTCGGGGTGGGAGAGAAGGTCTGAAAGTAGTCAACTCCCTGCCGCTGACTGAAGCCACGAGCCACGTAACGCGCCTTGAAGACAGGCGGAGAACCCGGCGGTCGCTTCACCCTGAAAATCCACATGCCACTGACGATGTTCGCCCCAGGCGGGGGAACCTCGTCAACGTAGGTGCCTGTGGACTTCCAGGAAGCCATCTCTGTGTCCATAGCTGCCTGCCACTGAGAGGAGTGGGGACCCTCTATCGCCTCCGCGTAAGAGCGCGGAGTCGGGATGTCAAGTGCATCCGGGTCTCCCTCAGGGGTAAGCAGTACGGACACGAGATGAGGTGAAGCAGCAGCCAAACACTGGAACTCCTCCTGCCTGTCCTCAAGGACGTCCGTGCCAAGGGCACACTCACCCCCGACGGACGGAGGACAGACAGACTCAGACTCAACGACAAGACTAGCAGCGTAGTCTAGACGACAGCGAGCAGCAAAGTCGACGAGCTCAGCAACTAGGGCAGACGCAGCAGTGGACTCAAAAGAAGGGTCAGTGATGACAGTAGCAAGGAGACGCGTGACAGTAGGACTGGCAGCACGAAGAGAGTCCGACTCCGGGTCGGGAAGAGCAGGAAGAGAGGACTCAGGAGGAGAAGGCAAAGGGGCACGCAGAGGAGCAGTGGACGGACGCAGAGACATCCGGTGCATGCCAGGGACAGGAGGAGGACGCTGACGCGAACCACGACCACTAGAGCGAGCAGGACGGACAGGCGACGCAGGGCGAGATGCAGGCTCACGACGCTCAGCCAGACCTCCAGTAGGACCAGTGTAGGGAGAAGGAGCTGGCAGTGGGGAGGCCGGCTGTAACTGTAACTGTGACGGGACAGGCTGTGGACACTCTAAGGGAGGAGGAGGACCAGTAGAAGGCGGGAGACCAAGAACCTGCTGAAGGAGCGGAACGAAGTACGGCCGAGGCCGCGCGGCGACTCCAGACACGGCAGGGACAGCACCAGTACCCCCAGCGGCAGCACCAGCGCCAGCAGCACCTCCAGCTCCAGTACCTCCAGCAGCACCAGTAGCACCCCCAGCAGGACCGCCTCCAGGACCGACAGCAGTAGCCTCAGCGTCAACACCCTCAGCAGCTCCAGCTCCAGTCGTACCCGCAGGCCCAGCAGCTCCAGTACTCCCAGTACGAGCACCTCCGGGACCCGCGGCACCAGCACCCTCAGCAGCCGAAGAACCTCCAGCTCCAGCAGCACGCCTCCAGCGCCGGGCAAACCACTCGCGCAGCTCCTGTGGAGAGAGTGGCTCCCGCCGAGACGAAGCACCCGGAGAACCTCCAGGCTCAGCACCGCCAGACGCCACACGAGCAGGCCCAGCTCCCTCAGGCTCCGCACCCCCAGGCTCAGCACCTCCAGGCGTGGCACCCCCAGGCTCAGCACCCCCAGGCTCAGCACCCCCAGGCTCAGCACCCCCAGTAGTAGCACCCCCAGGCTCAGCACCCCCAGGCTCAGCACCCCCAGGAGTAGCACCCTCAGGCTCAGCACCCCCAGGCGTAGCACCCACACGCTCAGCACCCCCAGAGTCAGCACCCCCAGGCTCAGCACCCTCAGCAGCACCAGAGTCACCAGTAACCTCGACAGGCTCGACGGCGTCTACCTGGGACACACCTGAAGGGGCAGGACCCTGAGGGGGGAGGGGGTCTACCGGGGGGGGACCTGGCACAAGGAAGAGCGGTGGCGGGGGGAGGGACGGAGTGCGGTAGGGGAAGAGGCGGTAGTAGGGGACCGACTCGTCAAACGTGACGTCCTGGGAGGACAGAACACGGCGAGAGGTGGGGTGGTAGAACTGCCACCCTGGCGCGTCAGGGGGGAAGCCAAGGAAGACGCAAGGAGCAGCACGAGGGGACAGCTTGTCCGCAGACAAGTCGCGGACAAACGCCCGAGATCCCCAGACACGGAACGCAGACGCATCGCCAACCTTCCCCGTCCACAGCAAAGCTGGGGAGGTCTCCGGCATGGAGACCCTGGGGTGAAGGTTGATCTGATGCGCCGCGTACCGAACCGCAAACGGCCACAGAAAATGGGGGGCAGCCGCATGCATCATGGACGTACGGGCGACGTCCATGACCATGCCAATGCGGCGCTCAGCAATCCCATTTTGCTGTGGAGAGTCCGGAAGCGTGAAGGTCTGGCGGATGCCTCGTGCACGACAGTAGGCTCGCAGAAGGCCAGAGGAGAACTCTCCACCTCTGTCAGAGTGCAGACGCAGAACAGGAAAGTCCGAGCCGAAGCTCTGCCTGAGCTGGAGATGAGCTGCGCGGATCCAGTCGATCAACACCTCAGTGACATCACCCTTGCTGCGCAAGGGGAAGACTGTGGTGTAACGCGAGTAGTCGTCAACCACCAGCAGGAAGTAGCGCTCGTGACCCTGTCCACGGACGCGGGCCGGGCCCCACACGTCCATGTGAAGCGTCTGCAGCGGGGCCTCTGTCGGAGGAAACTGGGAGGAGTGAGGGGCAGCCCGCTGCCGCCCCTCGACACAGGGGACGCAGGTAGGGCCAGGCCCCGGAGGAAGGGGAGGGAGGGACCGGGGAAGACCAGAGACAAGGACACGGGAGGCCATGCCTCGGAGACGAAGCAGGGAGGGGTGACCAAGGCGGTGGTGCCAGAGGAGAGTCTCGTGCGACAGGAGGCGACACGAACAGGGGGCAGACTCAGGACCAGACCTGGACGCTGCAGCAAACACCTGACCCGACGCAGCTACCTAACCAGACGCAGTGACTGGAGGAGACGCAGTGGTCAGTGTGTACAGGCTCGACCCCGGCCGACGTGTAAACGTGGCCAGGTGTCGGCCTGTCCGAGCGTCCGTGCAGTGGGTCACCCGCTGACTCGCAGGAGTGAACTGGTGAACCCCCGCATCCTGTAGGTCAGCACCACTCACCAAGTTCGTAGAGAACGAGGGGAGGTAAAGACCAGACAGGGTGCCAGAGGGGGCCGCCGGACACGGGAGGACAGTGGAGAAGTGAGCAAGGACAGGACCCCCAGAGGGGTCTGCCAGAGAGACTGCAACTGGCCGGCCAAGCGGCGTGAGTGTGGTGCGGTCTCGAAAGAAGGAGCGAGAAGCCCCCGAGTCAAGGGTGAAGGTGTGGGAGGCCGAAGCCGACGCAGTACCTGAGAGAGCAGACTCACCAGCACCTGAGGGAGCAGACACACAAGCACCTAGAGCAGCAGCCTCGCTAGCACCTAGAGCAGCAGCCTCACCAGTACCTAGAGCAGCAGTCTCAATGCCCGGGTCGGGCGGAAAACACCGGTAACAGTCACCCTCATCACTAATAGTCACAGCATACATGGCAGCAAGAATAGCATCAAAGTCAAGGTCAAAGACAGCTACACCCGCCCTAGACAGCTCGCCCCAGCGGGGGATCTCAGTGGCCTCAGGGAACTGGTGACACCAAGCGTCCGTCAGGCGGCCAAAGCAGCGCTGGGTGGAGTGCGCACCCCCGCACTGCTCACCCGCGCGGTCGCCGGTGCGTAGGACGTAGGTGCACGGACCAGTACCCCCACCCCGCTGGCGTGCAGCGTACCACTCACGGAGCTGCTGAGGGGGGGGGATGTCACGAGTGCGCTGCTGCCGCTGCTGCTGCTGCTGCTGGCGCTGACCACCACCGGAGCCGACCCTCTGCGCAGCGCCACCCCGACCAGCTCCACCTCCTCCGCCGCCGCCTCCTCCACCGCCGCCACCTCCGCCACCTCCGCTCCCACCGCCACCGCCGCCGCCGCCTCCGCCTCCACTGCCGCCACCGACACCTCCACCCCCGCCACCACTCCCACCACCACCCCCACCCCCTCCACTGCCTCCACCGCCACCTCCGCCACCCCCGCCAACCCCTCCAGCACCCTTGCCCCCCTTGCCCTTGCCGGTGCGGCGTCTCCCGCTCGGGGCAGACGCAGCGCCGACCGACTCGAAACCAACGAGGTCGGCCGCAGCAGCAGAGGCAACAGAGGGCAAAAGGGGGGAGGGGGAACACCCCTCAAAGACGGGGGTGCGAGGGTCACCACGAGAGGCTCCTACAGCGACTATGCTCTTCTCTGCTGCTAGGAGGGCCTTCTCGAGGAGGTCAACGGTAAGAGTGGTGGGGCAAACTGAGAGGAAGTGGTCCCTGACTACGCGAAGGGAGTCAGGGAGCCGGGTGACTATGTAGTAGAGGGTGATGTACATGGGGGGGGGGTTCTTGGAGCAGAATTCAGCAGGAAGCGCAGCGCGGTAGCGAGTGTCACTAGTGCGGAGGTGCGTAATGAGGTCAGCGACTGTGGGAAAGGCAGCAAGGTCAGGGAAGAGGTACGGTAGCATGAGGCGGCTCAGTGCAGCACTGGCAGGGGAGGAGTAGCGCGCAACTACAGCGTCGTACAAGGTGTGAGCACTCTTGTACTGGCTAAAGTGCGCACGCTCAGAGGTAGGCAGGTGGCGACGCACAGCAAGACGTGCAGCAGCATCGCGTGTGGCCCACTTTGAGCGAACAGTGGCGTCGGCATCAGCAGCAGGGGCAGGAGAGGCACCAGAGGTGAGGTCAAAGAGGGAGAGACCGTCTGCCCTATCGCACTGTAGGAAAAGCTGCAGGTCATCTACCCAGACGTCAAAGTCAATGGCCCGACCCTCAGCGTCAAAAGCGAGGACACTAGGGGTGTTGAGTGATGCTACCATTCGCATTCACGTCTGTCTGCCTCCCATCATATGTTCGTGCGTTGCATGCGTGTTGTGAGTGTGTGCAAGAATTTGTGTTTTGTGCGGTTTGGTTTTTCTGAGTGTGTGTGTGAATGTTATTTGGCTTGAGCAGATATCTGAAGTGACTCCTCTGCTCAAGAGCTTTCCGAGGAACCAAGTATCGCTTCAATCGGAGCACGAACAAGAAAGTTACGAACGTTGGAGTTCGTATGCTTTTGATATTTGGTTGTGGTGACTATGGGAAGTTGTGGGGTTGACTCAATATGGGGTACAGACTTTTGGGGGTTGGGAAATTCGTCTTTTCTACTGTAGTTGCTGCCAAATGGTTGGGAGAAACCAAACCAGGTTGGCAAGTGTGGCCAAGTTGGGTTGAGGTGGATTGTGGAGGTTGGGATAGTGACAAAGGTCAAAGTTGGGTTGCCTATGGGGAAGGGAATTGTATGGCATGGGGTTTCCTTGGTTGGGGACTCTCTTGGGACCTTCCCTCTCGTCCTCCTCATCCCCTCCTACCTGGTTCTATTGCTACTCTAACTTTCTTGTGTGAACTTGTGAGATCATTGTGATTGAGTTACGTTTTCTATGGCAGCATACCCCCTAGTGCGCCGAAGTTCATAACTCGAGTTATACTCCATATTCTGATACTATTCAAATTGGGAAAGATAGCCACGGTCAAGGGCTACAACATACTCGAGTTTGAAAGAATTCTAACAGTGGACCTTTCGTCGACGACGTTTCTTGTGACGACGACTTTTCTGTCCAGAATTGTAGTTGACGATTTTGAGATATTTCAGCCCCTAATCTTCATAGACTCCGTCCTTAATCTATAACAAGTGGTATCAGAGGTGATTAAGGACCTTGTGGGGAGTCTACTGAAGTGTGCAGACCCTCCTAGACCCACCATGGCCTGTGGGCGTGCCTAAGTGGAGTTCTGGAGGTTGGATGTGACTTCCGCTAAGGGGAAACTCTGCCGAAATTTCGTTGGCGCTGACACTTGTGAAGATTGTGTGGATCTACATTGTGACCAGCAAAAGGGGGAGCTGAAACCTCTGATTGGGAGCAGAGGAGATGAATGAAGGGAGTGGAGATGCAGCTGAGAAGAGGAGTGAGCCGCCACCATCCAAGATTGAAGCTTTGGATGGCTCCAACTATGAGGAATGGAGCGGGCGGATGCGGAGCGCCTTCAAGCGCTACAAGCTGCTGAAAATTGCAATGGGAGAGGAGAAGATGCCGGGGGAAGGAGATGCCCGCGATCGGTGGATTGAGAAGAGCGCGGTGCTGTACGACCTCATCCTCCAATCGGTCAACAACGACATGTTCCAGCACATCAAGGATTTGGTGGAGTTGGATGATTCCGGACCGAAGGCATGGAAGCTGCTACGCGACGTGATTCAGCCCAACACGCTGCCGATGGTGATTGTGTTGGAGAAGGAGTTGGCTGCCCTCTCCATGAAACCGGGAGATGATGTGAAACCGGTCCTTGACAAGATCAAGGACACCTATGCGAGGATGGCAGCGGCGGGCAGCGAAGTGTCGCAGATGCAACAGTGCACCAAGATCATCTCGGTGCTCGACAACTCGTGGGACAACCTCATCCCCACCCTCAACGTTCAGCAGGACAAATGGACGCCTGAGTGGCTACGGCAGCAGATTCTGCAGGAGGACTTCCGCAGACGCCACACGGGAGGTGGTGCTGCCAACAAAACTGCTGAGGGGTATGGAGCTGCAGGAGGCAGCAGAGGAAGAGGGGGAGGGAGAGGCCGAGGCCGTGGGAGAGGCTTTGGCAGAGGGAGAGGCCGAGGTGACTACAATGAGGGGCATGGGAGCTCTGGTGGCAGGGGGAGCACCCGAATGGAGGGTGCGTGCTGGTACTGCAAGAAGGCTGGACACCCGTGGTTCAAGTGTTTCAGCCGGCCTGAGGGATGGGCCCCTCCAGGCATGAAGCCGCCAAGTGGTGAACGTGCACGCGGTGGCGCTGTGCAAGGTTCAGGTGCACAAGGTGATGGTGCACAAGGTAAAGCCGACCCTGGGATGTTCCTCATGGTTGAGGATGTGCAAGGGAGTGGGGGTGATGTGGGTTCAGTTGGGAAGGTTGTGATGCACCCCCTCACTCACTGGGTGATCGATTCAGGTTGCACGAGTCATATGACCCCACGGGCAGATTTGCTTGATGAGGTAAAACCTCCTGGGAAGATCAAGTTTGTGGCTGCCGCTTCAGGTGCTTTGCTCCCTGTGATTGGTGTTGGGAATGCCAAGGTGATGGGAGCCAATGGAGAGCTTGTGGGGCTTGGGAATGTGCTGTTGGTTGAAGGTTTGTCCGCTAACCTTCTTTCTGTGCGCCGGCTGCAGAAGAGCAAGGCTGAAGTTACCTTCGGCCCAACCAGCTGCCGTGCAAAGCTTGGGAAGTTGCTGCTGTGGAACTTGGAGGAGAAGAGCAGCTGCATCAAGGACTTGTGGCAGCTGCCCATCATCCCTTGGAAGGGGAAACCACCAGCAACGGCAAAGGCAGCGGCAGCGGCTAAAGCAACTGCGGGAGGAGAGGAGACTGCACCAACTGCTGGGGCCCTGGATGCAGTCAAGAAGGTGCAGCAGCCACAACAGCCACATGGTGAGGTGCTTGCTGGTGTGGATGCGACAGCTGCATGGGCAAAGGCTTCATCTGGGAGTGGTGAGGCTGATTGGGAGACGTGGCATGAGAGGCTGTGCCATGTGAACATTCCTATGCTGCAGAAGTTGGTAAAGGATGGGTGCTTGAAGGGGCTGGAGGTGAAGGGGGGAGCAAAGGAGATTGGGAGCTGCCCTACCTGCCTTGAGACCAAATTCACGAAGTTTCCCTTCAGCAGCAGCACAGGACCAGCCAAGGCACCACTTGCACTAGTGCACATGGATGTGGTGGGCCCCACGAGGGCCCTTTCTCTCTCGGGCAGCCGCTACTTCTTGACGATTGTGGACGACCACACGCGTGCGGTGTGGGTGTACCCTCTCAAGACTAAGGGGGAGGTGGCAGCGGCTGTTCTTAAGGAGTGGATGCCAAGAGCACAAAGGGAAAGCGGACACAAGGTGAAGGTGATCCGCACTGACAACGGAGGAGAGTTCATCGGCGCTGATTTTGAGAAGGAGCTGAAGCGGAAGGGGATCCAGCATCAGCTCACAGTGCCTTACAACCCTCAGCAGAATGGCGTGGCTGAGCGGTTCAACCGGACCCTGCAGGAAGGTGCTCGCACTCTCCTTGGGCGTGCAGGGCTGCCGGATCCGTTTTGGGTGACAGCACTGCGGCAGGTCGTTGTTGTGAAGAACAGGGTGCTGGCAACTGTGGGGGACAAGCAGTGGGTCCCCTACACCAAGTGGTATGGGATTGCACCAGCTGTGAACATGCTGAGAGCCTTTGGGTGCATGGTGGTGTTTCATGTGCCTAAGGAGAAGAGGGGAAAACTGGAAGCTTCTGGGAGATGGGGTGTGCACTTGGGGCTTGCTAAGGATCACAAGGGCTGGCTGATTTGGGACTTGACCAGCCAGCAGCTGACCGTGTCAAGGGATGTGAAGTTCCTTGAGTCCTTGTACTACAAGGAGTGGAAGCAGCAGCAGCAGCAGAAGCTTCCAACGACACCGCTAATTGTCGAGGCCGATGAGGTGCAGCGGCCTTCAAGGCAAGTGGAGGTTTCTGTCTCTGAGAATGAGATCTCTGGGGTGACAGAGGATGGGGGAGAACCTGAGGTGGAGGAGCAGCAGCAGCAGCAACAGCAGCAGCAGCCGCAGCAGCAGGAGGAGCAAGGTGCTCCACAAGGTGCCGGACGTACGGCTGACCGTCCTAGGAGGGATGTGCGCCCTCCTAACAGGCTGACCTATGCAAGCCGTGGCAAGCCAAAGGTGGTAAGGGCTGGGAGTGTGGCTGAGCAGTGTGATGAGGATGAGATAGCACACTGCTACTGGGCAGCCGTCCCTGAGCCCAAGACGCTAGCTGAGGCATTGAGCGGGCCCGATGCTGAAAAGTGGAAGCAGAGTGTGAAGGAGGAGTATGATTCTCTGCTAGAGAATGAGACGTGGGAGCTGTGTGAGCTGCCACCTGGGAAGAAGGCCATTTCTTCCAAGCTGATTTTCAGGCACAAGTACGGACCTGATGGGGCGCTGACCCGCTACAAGTCAAGGCTTGTGGCTAAGGGGTTTCAGCAGACAAAGGGAAAGGACTTCAACGAGCTCTATGCTCCTGTGGGGAAAGGCACAACACTTCGGGTGTCATTGGCAATGGCAGCATACCGTGGATGGCGGGTGAAGCAGATGGACATCACCACCGCCTTCCTCAATGGGATCATTCTGGAGGAGCTGTACATGTTACAGCCTGAGGGTTTGGATGATGGGAGCGGCAGGGTGTGCAGGCTGAAGAAGGCCATCTATGGCCTGAAGCAGGCTCCTCGTGCATGGTACCACAAGTTAGAGGAGACTCTGCTGGCTGGGGGTTTCAAGAAGAGTGAGTGTGATCACAGCTTGTTCCTGCTGCAGGAGAAGGAGCAGTTTCTCATGCTCCTGGTGTATGTGGATGACATCCTGCTCTTCTCTGAGTCGTCTGCAATGATTGAGCATGTGGAGGAGATGCTGGAGATGCAGTTTAAGTGCTCCAAGATGGGAGATGTGAAGTACTATTTGGGCATGCATGTGGAGAGGGACCTTGACAAGGGAGTGTTGAGGTTGCACCAGAGAAAGTATTGTGAGGGGCTGGCTGAGAAGTATGGGCTGCAAGATGGAGGAAAGCCAGCCACCCCACTGCCTTCGGGGTTCACTGTGGAGCCCTGTGCTGAAGAGGAGGTGGTGGGTGAGAGTGACAGGAAGCTGTTTCATTCCATGGTGGGGGCACTCAATTATGCGGCTAACCACACGCGGCCTGACATTGCCTTTGCTACATCCAGGCTTGCAAGTGTGGTTTCACGCCCCAGTCATGAGCAGCTGGAAGCGGCCAAGAGGTTGGTCCGCTATGTGAGCGCTACGGC